GAAGTGTTTAGTGTAGTTTGAAGCAGTCGCTGATCTCTGCAGGTGCTTCTCTGAGACAAGGAAGGGACAATATTGTTCAGGGGTCGCAGTATTTCTCAAGTAAGGTTTCTGCTTTGGCCTCTGTACTCAGTTCAGTTAGTTGGCTTTAGCATTTCTCTCCAAAAAGCACCTAGTGGCATTTAAACTCTGGGGGAGGGGATCCTATGCTTTTGCTGTATATGGATCTTGCAGCAAAGAAACCCTATCCCCGCCTTAATGCAATAGCTGAAAACCCTGTTTTATGTTTGCGAGTTAATTCTCTCCTCTGTCCCATCTCCTCTTCTCGTTTGTGTGGTTTTTAAATTTGGAGTAGACGCCTTTGCCAATCATCATCTCTCATTTGCAGTTTCAGTCCAACTGTTTTGCTTTTTCCCAAAGCTAATTTAAATTCATTAGGTTGGAATACTACTAAATCTGAAGGGGCCACCGTTGTTAATGTAATTGAATCTGACAGTCACTGGGAAGAATTAGTCGTATGAAATCCCTGCCAGACCTTATCGATGGAAGGAGTGCTTGTCAGCGGCTCTATTCCTATGAATAAGGGTTTGCATTGCTGGGTCCATGGGTATGGTTGTGTTCAGAGTACTAAGCATTTTGGGGGAAGGAACATTGTTCTTCATGTCTGTAGTCAGATATGAGGGAGAGACGGATCGTTTGAAACGAGTGCCTCTGTCTCTATCCGATTGACACAGAAATGTGGTCTCCTGGTTAATCAGAGCTCAGTTTCCAGTTGTCATAGGGTTTCAAGGCAAGAAATGTCCAGGGGGTTTGACTCGATGTATAGCACAAGCCATTAGGTTTCATCCGGATGCCCCTTTATGAATATAAAGCATTGTAGTCCTCGGGAGACTAAAGAAACTTCCATGGTCCCTGCCAGTTTGACCTGGGGAGTAAGTATTTTTTAGCTCAGAACTTAGTGATCACTTTGAGCCTCAGCGTATGAGCAGGTTTCTGGAAAACAGGTTTCCTGTGCTACGCTAGAGCTCTGACCCACCCTTCGAAGGGTCACGTGGCCAATCTGAGTCTTCAGCAGAAGACCCCCAAATCCCCACGACATTTAGCCAGTTGCGTATTGGAGAAAAAAATTATTCTGGACCCTGCAAATGACTGGCGAGAGTCCTGGGGTTAGTCACTGGCTCAGTGTAACCTTGAGGAAGTTGCTTAACTCTCTGGCATGGTGTCCGGGTAGCCATCTCAAAAGGGGTATATTGAGTCTCAGTGTTTATAGCATGTTTCAGGATTTTGAGCGAAGAGCTGGTATAGGGGATTCAGGAGGACACTGAACCAGCCCAGCTCAGACCAGAGAAATCCTAGCACCAAATCTGAAGGCAGACCCACGTCATCCCAACCCAGGCCATGTAGTATTCCAACTGCCCGTGACAACCCATCCTTGCACTGATCTCTTTTGTTTTGTAGCATTTATTACAATCTCGTTTGCAAATTGTGTTTTTGTGCTCTCGACTTTGCCTGGTATTTTTTAATTTTTTTCCCTTTTTTTTTTTTTTTTTTTTTTGGCATATTGTTTTGTTTTCACATCACCCTGCGGGACTCCCCCATACTGACTCTGTGACCTGTGACCTTTCAACTTTCATCCCTACAATGATTTCCTCCCTTCCTGTGACCTGTGCCATTACACCTCTTTCGGGGCTTGGTGCTTCTCCATCTAGTAGTTTAAGAATAGCCAAAAATGCAAAGCAAGGCTTGAATAACTCTCCTCCTGTGAAAGAGCTGAAAGAACCCTCTGCAGTTGATGCCTTCCGGTCCCGCAGCATCAGTGTGTCTGAACATGTGGTCCGCAGGTAGTGACGCCTGAAGGGGGAGAATCCAAGCGCCAATCGGCACTTGGAAATCTGGCAGGGTGGAGGCAGGGTGGGCTGCATGCCGGGATCCTTGCATGACTGCTCTTCAGGAAGTACAGATCGGCTCCTATCACCCTCGAGGCCTTGGCAAGCCATGGGACACCCATGAAGCTTTTCCAATGCCAGTTTATTGCATTCTTGTATTGCCCTACGCTATGTTTTGATGGTGCTTTATCAATGGAAACTCCTCTTGAAATGCAAAGGTCCTGGGATTCGGTGTGGAAAAAGTTGCATTCTGTGCAGGTTCAGGCCCTAGGGACACTGCATAGGAACACACACACGCTGGAGTTCTGCCGGCAAAGCTGTGCAAGCCTTAGTGAAGTCTAGAATTGGGTGCAAGCCTTCCCCACAAGGCAAAAGGAATAGTTTGTGGCCTCAAAGTGGAGCCAGCTCTTGAGGTGTAGATGGCAGGATAGAAGTCTGTTGGTATAAAGTAACCTGCCGTGAAAGCATTAATTGATCTCCAGTCTGGCACCTTGAGCGACAAAGCCATGAAGGGCCGGACAGCACAGCCGTTACCAAGCTATTGTTTGCACATCAAAGGAAAATAGTTTGGAAGAAAGCTTGATTTGGCCATACTGGGCATGTCTACACGTGTGCTTTACTGCGCAGTAGATTAATTTACTGCACAGTAAAGTGTCACTGTCTACATGTGAGCTGCAATTAGGGCGCAGTAGATGAATTCACTCTGGCGTAGGATAGTCCCATCAGACACAGGTACTATCCAGTGGTGGAGTAAATTACTGTGCTTATACGCATGTGTAGATGGTGATGTTGGGATTAGTTTACTCCAGCTCAAATTGCGCCGGAGTTTATTAAGCTGCATTAATTGCAGGTGTAGACATGGCCACAGCAGATAAAAAGGCTTACTGTTTTTAAGCCTGTGTCCAACTTTCCTTTGACTGTTAAACGGCTAGCGAGGAGCATGGTAGCTGGAAGTCTCAGCGTGAAGATGTTCTTGACAGGCAATAGGAAACAGGCTTTGTCCTTTTGCTGGAGCTACACTGCAGGCATTTCTGTTGTGACCGCGTCTCTGCTAGAGGAAGCGGCAGCGAGATGTCTGCATTGTGAACGTACCCTTTTGGTGCGTTCAAAAGTGAACATTCCTATTAGTTTGACATGGCACACTCATCTTGCGTTTATGTGTTAATTTACACTAACACAGCATTCGGATAACTTACTGTCTAGCGATGCCAGAGAAATCAGTGCTTAATAGAAACCAAGCTGAGATGCAGCCAGACCTTTCTAAGTGATTATAATGGAATAATTCCTTACAACAATTTTATAACCCAACTGGCTATTCCAATCATTTTTAAAATTGCATTGCTAAGACCCAGTTAATTGAAGGCAGAATCGGTTTGTATCAAGGTACTAATGTTCAGTGCAGAGTGCAATTTTTTTTGCTGGTGGTTCAGCTAGATTTTGCATACTCTGATTCTTTGATTTATTCTTCCCCCTTTAGTTAAAATCAATGCTATATGCCTAGTCTTTCTCGCATCCCTCCTGAAGTCTAGGCTAATCAAAAATGTATACATGCCTCCCTGTCTCTCAAGGAAAAACAGTAAATTCTGGGGTGACAGCTGCTCCATGCAGTGACTGCCCAATATTGAGGTGACCTAAAAATTATTTTAACACCCTTTGGGTTTGATTCGTATTGGGGAGCAGCTCTATTCAGGGGCATGCATGTATCGCAGCTTCTTCTGCAGCTTGCCGTTGATGGGGTGACAGGTAGCACGATGCCCCTTCTGCGGCATTTCTTGACACTCTTCAAATGTCCTTCCATCAGCCGGATCCAGACATCCATCACTAGTTCGAGCCTGGGCTCTGCAGATGAAAATTCAATGGCTCAGGCAGATGACAACTTAAAAAATCTCCACCTGGAGCTCACCGAGACCTGTCTGGATATGATGGCCCGATATGTCTTTTCAAACTTCACCGCGGTGCCCAAGAGGTGAGAGTCGGTTGCGTGTGGTGTTTGGATGCTCTTGTGTTGAGAGGTTTCACCAAGTCGACAGAAAATCTCTGGCTCTTGTGAGCACGGGCAATCGCCCGTGTTCTTAAGCTGTCGCTTCTGGCTAGGGTATGTGTTGATTGAGCATGAAGTTTGGTGACGGGGAAATGCTTGGATTGTTTCATACAGGCTTGAGCTTTTCATACAGAAATCAGCAGCCAGGCAAGTCTCATGCTCTGAGTTTCTCAGTTACCTCTGCCTCCCAAAAGGAGGAGTGTGGCAGGGATTAAAAGCTTCCTTGCACAATACTCAACTGCGTTGAGGCCAGGAGTGAGTTTCCATCCTGCCTAGAAGCCCTCGAAGTAGTTGGTGGTAGAGCCTGTGCATCCTTCGTTCTGCTACTTTACCGCTTTGGCCGTAGGGCTCTTTATGGAAACAAAGCATCACCGGAAGCATCATGGAAGGAACAGGTTTTTTCTTCCATGATCCCAACCAGTTTTGTTTTTTTTCCTTCCCTGAACACCTCCCAAAGCTCCGGGTCATGTGGGACTCACCTTCGGCTGTACTTTTAGGTCTCCTGTGGGGGAGTTCCTGCTGGCTGGAGGAAGGACGAAGACCTGGCTGGTTGGGAACAAGCTTGTGACTATCACGACGAGTGTTGGAACAGGGACACGGTCTCTTCTGGGCCTGGACTCTGGAGAGCTTCAGAGCAGTCCAGAGTCAAGGTAAGCCTTGCTCCTGTTTTTACAGACCTGTGTGATACCATTGTGTAGAAACAGCATTGAAGCTACTCATTTCCTTTATTAGCGCGCGCGCGCTTGCGTCTGTCTAGTCTGAAGTGTTCCCTCCTCAGTACCAGCCTCTTGTTTTCTCCCCCATTAGCTCAGACCCTGTTCTGCAAGTGAGACAAACGAAAGAAGCCCCGGCAAAGCTGGAGTCTCAGGCTGGCCAGCAGGTGTGCAGAGGCTCTCGCAACAGAGTCCGGTCCATGTCTGGTAAGCGTTCCTGCCATTTTTTCTCTCTCTAAAGCCCAGTTGCTGCAGGGCATGGCTGGCCTCTATGCTGGAGCTGAAGCCTAAATACCAAGCAACGGAAAGAGGTGGAGTGGTGTGATCTCAGATAAGGCCAGGGTCCTTAAAGAGTGTGGGGTGTTTCAACTCCTACTGAAATCAGTGGAGTTGCAGCAGCTCTTGCTGGTATCCACAACTACTAGGCTCTCCTGGCTAGTCTCTCCCTCCAAATAGCTTCAGCAGTTGTTTGTAGGGTGAGAACCTGTGGTAGGAGCCACCTGTATTAACCAGCTCCTGGCTCAAAAGAAACATTTGGCAGATGCGGCTCACTAGAGTTTGAGGCAAGTGGAGCAAAGTTGCTGCAGCAGTACAGAAAACTCTTTGTTTCCTGAATTTAGTGCCTCTGAACTGGGCTCCAGGGACTCCCTTTCTTCACCTTCCCCCATCTTTCCTCCCGCCAGGTGGCCATGCCTTGCGTGTCGGTGCCCTGGAGACGTCCGGCTCCCATTTCCCCAGCAGTTCTGTGCCCCAGGGCTTACAGAACCCTCCGGCTTCTGCTGCTCGAACAGAGAAGGCTGCTTCTGCTGCCCAGACTCCTCTGCAGAAAGAGAAGGCGAGCCTGGCTGCGTACGTCCCGCTGCTGACGCAGGGCTGGGCAGAAATCCTCGTGCGGAGACCCACAGGTATCTAATCCAGGGGCCTTCTGGGTGTGACGTGCTAAGGAATTGGGGTCTGTATAAGAATACCCAGGTGGGAAAGTGGGAAAGGATCTCTTCCTGGCTGTCTCTGCTCCTAAGTTTTTAATTTGTCACCCGAGTCCCAGAAATCACACTTTTTAATGATACCAAGTCACAAGGGCTCTGGGTGGGAAGAGTGAAACGAGTCCTTATTAATGGAAAAGAAATGCTACTGCACTGACAGCCTGGGACACCACGTGGGCACTCAGCCATCGCTTCAGTGTGGTGCTTCTAGCTCAAACCTATGCTGGGTGCCTTCCTACAAATCTATTTCCAGCCCCTCAGTTTAGAGGGCAAACAAGGCTCGTAGCCGGAGCACCAACGCTGCAAGTGGCTGCTGTTTGGGGCAGGATAGTCAGGGCGTTAATGCGCACAGAAGTTAAGCTTCTGAACACATGCACTTTCCAAAGTGTGTGCTGAAGCAGGACTTGCACGCTTCAGCTGGAGGCTGCTTTGAGAGAGAGTGATTTAAAATGACCTTGTGTCCTCCCACTCAGCACTCGGAAACCTTCTGGGAGTCTGCTTTGCTGAGCTGTAGGCAGCAGTGCTGAAGAGCTTTGGGGTACAAGGTGAAGGATCATAGGGTGCTGGGGACTGGCTCTTGTTTAAAATGTGAAATTAGCTGAGCCAGCTGGTCAGGAGGGGACCCTTCGACTGCACAGCCTCCATCCCAGGGCAGTGTCCAGTCAGCAGAGCTTCCTGGAGCGAGAATCTCCCTCTTCCATCCCCTCCAGGTAACACGAGCTGGCTCATGAGCCTGGAAAACCCTCTCAGCCCCTTCTCGTCAGACATCAACAACATGCCGCTGCAAGAGCTGTCCAACGCGCTCATGGCTGCCGAGCGCTTCAAGGAGCACCGGGAGACTGCTCTCTACAAGTCCCTCTCGGTCCCTTCCTCCAGCCTGGCCACCGGCACAACCAAACCATCCCTTCTGCAGCGCTCCAATACAGGTGAGAGGTGGCCAGTCCCAATGTGTCCCCAGTAGCTTGTATCCTGTTGTGAGGTGACACTAAGGTGTCAGTCATGAGCTACTACTGCCCAGGCTCCAAATGTAGCAGCATAAGGTATAAAGCAGCAAGGGCAGGGGGGTGAAGGGACAAAGGCAGTTCTTTGCATCACATTAGAGCCAGGGAGAGCATTTTCACTCATCACATCTAAAGAACCATGGAAAAGATGGCTTCTTTCCTTCCCCACCCTTGGCATCTCAGACGAAGCTGTTTGAGTGACCTGAAGCTAAACTCGTCCCATGTGAAATGGCCCCGACCCATCCATGCTTCTGTCTATCAGTGGTTTGAGGTTGTTGCAGAGCTCGCTTCTTTGTGCTTGTGGGTATGTTCACTGCTGCTGGATCTTCAGTCCTGGGTTTTACAGACTTAAGCTTCTGGTTATGGGCTTTTAAACAGGGTTAATTAGAACTTTTCTTTGCCCGGAAGACATCGAGCCCTAAATCCGAAAGGCTGGTGACATCTTACATCATGTGTGTGCGCCCAGCTCAGAGCAGATCCAGTCAACACACTGCCAGAAGCAGTGTAGGACGCTCAGCTCGAACACCTGTGAAGCAGAACTGATGATAGCGGTGGTGAAACCCTACGCTCATATTAACTGAAGAGTAGACTGCCTGGAAACCCAGTTAAAAATGCTCGCTTTCAGATTCGCTCCATTAAAAAAAGTCTCCCTCTACACTGAGACCTTTCAGACAGTGTCTAATATTATCCTTTCCAAGTCACTGAGTACACAAATTCAGGCAGTTAAGCTGGAGGGCAAAATGCAGAATTCAGCAGAGAACTGTTTTGAACATTCTTTATTTGGTTCAGTGGCTTGTTTGTGGCTGTAGAGTTGGCACAGGTTCTTGCGTTTCCCTAGACTCCGACCTGATCTCTTTAGAAACGCTAAAAAAGCTGCTAAGTCTGAATCGGAGCTCTCCTGGGGTTTTGGATGTACAGCAAATTATTTCAGCTATGTCCACATTAAGCTGACAACTCAGTTTGTCAGAATCAGTGCGGGAAGCTGAGATGATGATGCCGGTGCGCACGATATTCCTGTCTTTTTGGAGGCTAAATCTCGTGCGCATTCTTAATTATTCTGCTGTGTTTTAAATGCTTTAAATGCTTAAAAAATGACCCTCTGCCGTGTGTGTGTAGGGTAGGGAGAGTGGACCCATTTCTGGTTTGCGCTGCTAGAGATGATCCTTCTTTCAGAATTTTTTTTTTTTTTTTTTTAAAGGACAGTCTCCTTTCTTCCAAGAGAGCAAGTTGAGTCTGCATTGTTTGAATGTATTTATGCCTCCCTGTATGTGTTGACTAGTTCCTGTACCCTAAAAGCTTCCCTTTTTACACTTAGTGATACTATCCCAGCTTGTTCTTTCCTTTTCATTTTATTTAATTATTTTTTAAATAGGCTCTTGGTTACGGTTATCTCTGTGCTTTTTAATTTGTTTCATATGTAGTCTCTCCTTCCTTCTGATGTAGTGGCTCACTTGATTTCCCTTTGCAGTGGCCTCTTTCTCTTCCATGTACCCGTCCAGTTGTCAAGGCAAGTTGCACAGGAGCATATCCTGGGCAGGTATATTTATCTCTCTTTAAGGAAAACAAAGTTATTGCCATAGAAGAACACCTCTGATTCATAGCAACCGTGTCCCTCATACCTCATCACCCCTTCCATGTTTCCTGTTTGTACCTGGTCTCATTATACTCAACGAATGGGATCTTGACTAGCATGAAGAAGTCCAAGCCAGATACGACATTTGCAAGTAACTTGAATGCAACTTTTTGGATGGGTCATGACTCATGGGGCTTAGACTATAGAGGGGCACACAAAAAGATCTGAATTCCCTGACTTCTCAGCTCAGTCTTGCAATTGGGATGATGTCCTGTTAGTGTAGAAAGCTCCCACTTCTGTGAGTGTCACCTGGAATGCTGTTTTTGCAACTAAATGTAAAAGCAAGCCAGCATTGCTCAGCCTACTGAGAGCCGGCTAGTGCTGGCCCTACGAAGCTAATCTGAAGTGTACGGCTGTCTTGATACTACAGCGTAGTTGCTGGGTGCAAGTTTTGAAAATAAAAATAGAAACTTTCAAAGAGAACCATGATAAATGGTAGCTTTCTGTAGGCTCAATAGCAGTGTCCATATCTTTTCCCACTTGCTATGGCAACATCTATTTTCTAAACAAACTAGATGCAAATAAAATGCACACTCATAAGCACAGCATTTGCATTGCATTGCTAAAGTGCAGTGCTTTTATGATTTAATTGAGTGAGCGAACTTCCCTTCCACTTCCATTCCTTCGTTTGAAAAATCTGGTGTTGAGCAGTAGCTGTTCTCAATTGCTATGTTGGCACGATGCTATTAAAATGACACGCAGATGCTGCCATACAAGACTCTTCTGCACTTCTCTTCTGTACTCAGATTACTCCGCTTCCACCTACGGTGTAATTAGTGAGCGCTCAAATTATTTAAAAACGCCAGTAAAATTGACGGTAATGTTAGAAGTAGGGAAGTTGAAAGCACTGAGTATGTGCAGGTGTGTTCTGGCTTGGACAGCTAACCAGATCAGCACGTTTTTAGAAGGTATGTGTGCGCAGTGCTAACTCTTAATTGCTTCTTTGAAATAACTTTTGGCCCCGTGAGCTGAAATCAATCCAGGGAAGGCTGCTTTAGTGATTTTTTGCTGATTTTTTTTTTTTAATTATTATTTTGTGTGTGTGCTAATTTTATTTCTTTAAATTTCACTTTGGAAAACAAATCTTAGCCTTTCAGATTGGTCTTCCAATTCTATGTGTACATAACGGGAAGCCTCCTGTACTTCAGCCTTTTCCTCAGGACAAAAAAAAAGGCCAACAGAAGTCTTCAGTCATACTCACTCCTGTGTTCACGGTAGCTGAGTATTGTAGACACTTGGTTACCCGTCCCAATAACCTCTCTTCGTCATGCACAGGGTCTCCAAGTGGTTTTGTGTCAGCCTGATCTCATTAACAATTTGTCTGATCAGATACCACATGCAGATTGTCCTAGTGTTGCTGCAGAATTTGGATTAGGTGCAACTTGGGCTATACTGGTTAACTTCTCCTGAGGAATATTAGGAAAGATGCCAAAAATGCAAGGGAATAGCCTCTAGTCATTTTAATCTCCTCTTAAGCCAACATAACGTACAGGGACATTTGCCATATACAAGGCTTATTCTTTTGCTACTTGCATAGAATTTGTTTTCATTGCCTATTTACTTCAAAGCTAACTTTGCACTTCCTTGCATCTCTGTAATTACTCTCTGTCCTGACAGCTGAGTGGTAAGATGCCTAAGGACCCATTTTCTCCATTATTTATCCACTACTTGTTCATTGTTAACAATCTGACACCACTCCCCCTGGTCTGACCGAAGTAGCCCAGCCCTTTGGCATGAGGGTAAGTCAACAGATTATTCTATGCAAAAGGAAAACCTGTAATGAGGAACCTGGGACGTTAAAGTCTGCACTCTGTGATCAGGGAGATCCCACGCTTCCAATATGGCCTTCAGTTACGATCCTAGGAGGGAAAAGGCTGGTACTTCTGAGGAAAGGATGGGGTCCCGCCATACCGCTCCTCTCTACATGCCTCAGTTACTCTGTTTGTGTCTCGGTAGAATCAGCCGTGGTTTTGGAAGAGGGGAGCCCGTCGGAGATGGAGTTAAAAGAGACCGATTCCCCAACAGAGTCTCAGGAGATTGAAGACTTTGAGGCCACATCCTCGGAGCCGTCCCTGAGCGAGGAGAAGTTTGGTAAACCCAAAGAACCGTACAGCAGGGTAAGCACATCCCCGCGTGGAGAAGGACCTCCCGAGCTGTACACGTCCCTTGTAAAGAGCCACCAGTTGCGCTCTTGGTGGCCAGCTGACAATGGAAACGTTTACACGGGTTGCGTGGATAGAGGGTCCATAAGTTGTCCTGCTTGCATGAACATCGGTAGTAGTAAAGGCAAATGTTCTCCTATCTGCCTGTGTTTGAGTGGTAGTGGGTTTGGGTGGTGACTAGCTCCCCGTCTGGTGCAGTGTCTCATGCGTGGCTTCTCATGACTTTTCATGGTTGAGTTGCTCCTCAGACCCCTGCTTTTTTCTTTTTTTTTGGCTTTTCCTTTAAGTCCTCCTCGACGTCTAGTCAGGAAGAGAAATCCCTGAGATCTGATGACTTGGTTCCTGTTGGGATTCCCATTGGAAGGGTCATCCATTCAGAAGATGGCAGGGCTCTGGAGGAGCTTTCCTTTCAGCCTTCGCAGCCGCTCAGCAAATCCAGTTCTTCCCCCGAACTTCAAACACTGCAGGAAGTCCTCAGAGATGCGAATGGCAGAGAAGGAATCGGAAAGCTGAGCACGGAAGTGAAGTCGAAATCTCAGTCTGAGAACTTGGAAGGAGAAGGACTTGGAAGCTGGTTGAGCCAGGGGGAGGATGCTAAAATGACCGGCACAGCCAGCATGTCTTCCGCTTCTCCTCGCTCGCCCAGTGGCTACCGCCCCAGAGGGTACACCATCTCCGATTCAGCCCCCTCCAAGAGGGGAAAAAGGATCGAGAGAGATGCCTTCAAGAGCAGAACAGCTGCCTCCAATGCAGAGAAAGTACCTGGAATAAACCCAAGGTGGGTGGGTGGATATGTCTACAGCTGGAAATACAAGGAGCCTCTTTTTAACTTCTTTCTTTTTAAGTAACGTCACAGGGCTGTGATTATTGGAAGCAGAGTTAGACTTGTTTAAATCCAACATATAGGTATTGGAGGGTTTACAAGACCAAAGCTGAATAGGTAGGTGTGACTTGATTTTTGTAATGCAATCCATGGTTTAATACCCACCACCTGAACTGTGGACCAAAGAAAACCCATTCCTCCGGTTTGGAACCCACCATGTAAGTGTATTTCCAATAGTGGGGATGTAGGAAAGGGCACTGACTGCCGCCCAGTCTTGCCGCCCAGTCCTGTTGTCCAAGGGGACTGACACATGCAACGTTACACAGCACAACTAGTGAAAAGCAAACTTAGACTTGTTGCATTTTTGAGCCTGAAGGCTTGGTAGCAGCCCAAAGCATTAATTCAGAAGATACTTGGGTGGGGCCATGTTTAATTTGTGAAATATTCAGCAGAGCCTGGGGTAAGAGGCCTCATTCCTCTTCTGGTTTGGAAGTGAATGCACAACCACACTGCAGCATTGGATTCCTGTCCCTCTGTCTGCTGCAAGGACCGGTAGTCTGTCCTCTGTCACCACTGAGCAAAATGACCCTCTTACGGCCTGTGGCTCGGCAGAAACTGTAGCTGGGTCAAATACTGACGGTGACCTTGCTGCACAGTTGTGCTTGGCTGGCTCTTTGTCTCCACCCCCCTCTGAAAATGCGATTGCGTGCCCCCCGATTGACACGGGCTTTATTTTTAAGGTAACTGGATTTCATTTCTCTTTTTCAGCTTTGTGTTTTTGCAGTTGTATCACTCCCCGTTCTTCGGAGATGAGTCCAACAAGCCCCTTCTGTTGCCAAATGAGGTGGGTAAGGTTTTATTATCATGGTGTGTGTTCTTAATGTTAACACTTGAAGCATCACTAATTGACACCCTTACTTCACTAATGAACTGCCAAAGAGATGAGATCCTGCTTTTTCCACTCCTGGAGCCAATAGGGGCCAAGCAGTATGTTTAGTCTCCAAAGCTGTGGCTTGTTACCCACATTCTTTAGCTTCTCAGCAAGCAGACAAATTGTTGCATTGGTGTTAGAAGCACAGGATGAAATTGGGCAAAATATATTGGAGAAGGTCACTAAAAAAATTGTCAGTTTAGGGGATGACTGGCAGAGGCCAGCGGGCACTATCCCTGTTTAAGAGAAAACTCAATGGTAATGAATTGTGCAGGTCAGTAAATGTTGTGGGGGGAGCAGCAATGGGTCCAATGGCAACTACAGCTTTGGGCTGTGATATCCTTCCTTCAAGGAGAAAATGGCCTGGGGAGTAGGTTTCCCAATCTCGAGGACACTTATTCCTCAGTAATCTCTTGCTCAGTTTCATAGATTCATAGATGCTAGGGTCGGAAGGGACCTGAATAGATCATCGAGTCTGACCCCCTGCCCTGGGCAGGAAAGAGTGCTGGGTCTAGATGACCCCAGCTAGATGCCTATCTAACCTCCTCTTGAAGACCCCCAGGGTAGGGGAGAGCACCACCTCCCTTGGGAGCCCGTTCCAGACCTTGGCCACTAACTGTGAAGAAGTTCTTCCTAATGTCTAGTCTAAATCTGCTCTCTGCTAGCTTGTGGCCGTTATTTCTTGTAACCCCCGGGGGCGCCTTGGTGAATAAAACCTCACCAATTCCCTTCTGTGCCCCCATTAATAATATCAAGGCGTATAGTGGGTTTGTGTATCAGTGACAGTCAAAGAAATTACAAGTTACCCTTTCTTCTTTCTAGACATTTGAGAGATCAGTGCAGCTCCTAGATCAAATCCCTTCTTATGATACCCACAAGATCGCAGTGCTGTATGTTGGAGAAGGACAGGTAAGTCTTCATATGTGCAAATGCATAAACCAGTTTGCACCAGTTTAATGAGAATCCAGCAACATCACTGGAACTTGGGGGTTTCTGCCCGTCTTAAAGTGGCTCCATTTTGTTCTTTGCTTTCCCAGATTACGCAGCAGTGCACAGGCTGTGGCAAAGTGCCATGAACCACGAGGTTTCCTTTAATGCTGGTGCAGGACTTCTGCTTCCATTTCACTTAGTTTGTGGGTCTTTGCTGTTTAGTAGCAAAGAGAGAATATTCTCTTTTTGGGTGATGCTTAACAGCAGAGGTACTTCTTTCCTGCAGCTCTAGAATCTGCCAGGCTTCCCCAGCCCAAAACCTGTTAATGTTTTGGAGTCTTAAGTAGCTCTTGTTCTCCCCGGGTAGAGTCACTGCTTATGCTCTGCTTGCCACTTTTGGGGCACGTTCAAAGCACTCGTAGGCCAAGTGAATCACTTAAGCATCAAGAGGGTGAAGGAGTGATCTAACATCCTCATGAAACTTCCCGTTCTCTCCTAGACCAACAATGAAATTGCCATTCTGTCGAATGAACACGGCTCCTACAGATACACGGAGTTCCTGACGGGCTTAGGGAAGCTCATTGAGCTCAAAGACTGCCAGCCTGATAAAATTTACCTTGGTGGTCTGGATGTGTGCGGGGAGGACGGGCAGTTCACTTACTGCTGGCATGATGACATTATGCAAGGTAAGGCTTCTTGAGGTTTATGTGTTTCTTGGTGCAGGAAGGATGCTTTAACACACGAGAAGTTAGCAGAGCTGCTCTCCTGCCTATATCACATCCCTTCTTTTAAGAACTGGTAAAGAAGGTTTTCTTTGGGTTTTGTTTGCAAGTTGTTCTGCCCATCAAGTTGTTCTAACCCCAGCCCTCTTTCCAGCCTATGCAGGGGGTCGGACTCAATGATCTATTGAGGTCCCTTCCGACCCTAACATCTGTGAATCTATGAATCAACGTTTTATACTGGTATGCAGGAAGGACTGAGGCGTGTTTGGGCAAAAATATCCTGCTACATACTCTAGAAATAGACGGCCCTATTGGAAATTAGACCTGGTTTTCTCTCTCTTTCTGTCAAACCTGTTGTATTTTCATGGGCTGTTGTATTCCCCCAAACCAAATGTTGTTTTATAGGGATGAGCTTGAAGAATTCTGAACGCATCAAAGCCTTTCGAGAGGTATATTCAGACAACTATGTGGTATATTGTGACCAAGTGTGCCACAGCACCATGCACCCCCTGCAGTGAAAGACCATATGTTTAAGGCGTTTAACTTTTCCCTGAAAAAGCCAATTCCCTTTCCTGGTGCTGTTGTGGCCACTCAGACTGCCCCAAAACATTTTCCCATCACTTACCCCTTGCCCAGTTGCCAGTTTTACCCTGTCTTTAGTAGAACTCTTCACATTCATCCCTGATGTGTATTGGGGTGAGTCAGATTGCTCAGGAACTAGTGAGCCCACTTCCCTGATACCAGGATCATAGAGGGCTGTTTTGGCCCTTGGAAACACCTGGAGTAGACAGAGCGCTGCGGAGTTTCGTTCAGGTTGCTCGTTGGAGAATTGGCTGAAGCGTCACTTAGACATGCCCCTTTGCGTGGTAAAGCAGGTAGAATGGGAGCCAGGAGCATCTGGCTGTTAAAAACCTGAACAAACGTATTCAGGGAGCAAGCAGATTTCTTCATTGTGACAGCCCTGATGTCACTTTTGATGGTTAGACAAGTACATTGAGTATTACTACCACAGAGCCCATGGAGATCCCTCCCGTCTCGGTGTCTACGTGGAGTATCTCCAGTAAAGCTGTTTTCTGTTCCAACCTGTTGTTTGCTTGGTTTTCAGCCATTTTTCACATCGCTACTTTGATGCCCACAAAGGATTTGGATAAATATCGCTGCGACAAGAAGAGGCACCTTGGGAACGATTTTGTTTCCATCATTTACAACGACTCAGGGGAAGATTTTAAACTGGGAACCATCAAGGTAGGAAACCTGGGGTCTGCTTAGAAACAGCTGTCGCGCTATTTGTAAGACCTCGAGTCTTTTCTAAATCAATCTTGCTTAGGCTGTGAATGGGGATCGCTGAATACCCGGGGTATTCGGTCACACCAGGGAGTTGACCCTGGTGCATTCAATACTGGCTGCCATTAAAAATAAGCCTGTGGTCTCATCTCTGCTTCTGTTTTGAAGATCTTTTTACTGTTTCCTCGCTAGGGCCAGTTCAACTTTGTGCATGTTATCATCACGCCGCTGGACTACGATTGTAACCTAGTGACGCTCCAGTGTCGGAAAGGTAGGGTGGGTTTTGACGTCTGTTTTAAAGTGTATTTATGCCCCTGGGCCCAGCAACTTCCTTCACCTCGTGAGAATGGCCTTAAATGTCTCGGGTGAATAAAACTTAAGAGGAATTCTCTAAAGCCTTAAGCCCCATGCCCTGTGGCTTCCCTACAGGGACATCTCCTCATTAAGGGAATGGCTGGGTGGCCAGCGGGTGTGCAGGATGCCTCAGGACACTTTCAAGGGGCCACCATCCCGGCAGGTTGTCCTCCAGTTTCCTCCCAGCAGTGCAATACATGGCTGTGGGCAGCTGGAGAGGCACCTGAGGGGTCACCAGTGCTTTTCTGAGCGTCCGTCGGAGGAGTCGCTAGGGTGTTGTCATTCCAATTAAAAAGGTGCACGTAGGATTTCTGGAATTTCCTCTCTCTCGCCCAGATCCCCCACCACGACTGCTCTCCAGCTGTACCTCTCACTCCCCTCTCACCAGTGGACTTTGCTAATAAAACCTCTTGCTTTGAAGCAACGCCACTGGGAAATGTTCTGCCCCCGCCTCTGCTTCGGGGGGTGATTGACTGGGTAGGATCTCTGGAAAAGGCTTGTATGGGGAGCAGCCAGCTTTGGGAGCCAGTATACTGTGGGCACTGTAGAATAAAAGGTGTGATGCTTTCTGAGGACCTTTTTGGAGACAAGTGGATGGGAGAGGGAAATGTTCTCCACTTCCCCCCACAACTCTGATTCTCTAAGATCTGAAAATCCTCCTGAGGTTAAATTTAACCCACCCTCTGAAGAGAGGATACCAGCCAGTTCTGTCCTGTTCTGCCTTTTTAACCTTTCTTTCACAAGAGGTGAAAATCTTTCCCCTTGAACGGTAGATATGGAAGGGCTCGTGGACACAAGCGTGGCTAAGATCATCTCGGATAAGAACCTGCCGTTCGTAGCACGCCAGATGGCCCTGCATGCCAACGTGAGTACTGCCTGGCTTCTCCAAGGGCCATTGCCTTTCCTAGGATCAGTTGTCATCTCCCACAAGGAGATTAATATAGTTGGGTGAAGGAATTTAATCAGATGGTTATTTCTCTCGAATAACCAAGTAAATCAGATTTTTAGCATCTGAACTTTAGAAATCAGGTTGAATTTGCAGGACTGGTAAACTGCTCTCTAGAAACAAGCTCTGAAGTTTCTTGCCGTGGTCACTGCACGCTCTGAAATTTCTCTTTCAATCAGATGGCTTCCCAGGTCCACCATAGCAGATCCAACCCTACAGACACCTACCCGTCAAAATGGATTGCTAGGCTCCGTCATATCAAGAGACTGAGACACCGGGTAATGCAAGCTTTATACCTTTCTGTCCATACAATATTGCATGTGTAACATGGATAGTTGCAGTTAGGCATCGGGGGAGAACTCCCCTCTGAATCTTGAGAGTGACGGTGGGGTGGGTACGCTTCCAAAACGCAGGACTAAAGTCTAGCAAGTGTGACAAGAGGGGTCATACCTCCAGGCCACTACAGAGCCCTCTGTTTTCATTGGCTACCACCTGGCAGGATCGTGCCGGGCTGGCAGTATTGAAATCGAAATGGCAATGATATGAGCTGGGTCTGTTAACATGCCCAGTGTGAATGGAAACGAGGAAGGGGAGTTTGTCAAGGCGTCTTTGACTTGTTCCCTTTACCTGTCTTTAGCTACGCGAAGAAACACAGTACCAGGCACCCGGCTTCCCTCTGCAGATACATCCTTCTGCTCCTGCCAAGCCCCCTCCCCATGTGCCGCAGGATCCACCGCCGACCTATGAAACGGGGCAGCGGAAGAGGCTGATTTCCTCCGTGGATGACTTCACAGAGTTTGTGTAACCCCATCTGATCCGTGTCAGCTGTCTGGCACTTGAGGTGATGGACCCTCTTCACCCCACATGCTAACAGACTGCTGCCCAGGGAGACCGCCAGGACTTGGCCAGCTAGGTGTGCCCGTGTTGCTTTAGTGTGTGAGCTAGTGATGACCTGTGCCATGTGACTTGGATTTACATATGCCATCATTTTGTCTTGCCCACCATCAAATATGATAAGGATTTTCTACCCCGGCTGCCCATGCTGGAAAGGACTGAGGCCAGACATTTCATCTTCCTGTGTCTGGAGACCTCTCTGATAGCAGCTTTCTTGCAAGGGCTCTTTTCCCTGGGATGCTTCAGAACCAGTTTTCTAAACTGAAGAGTGGCAAAGCATCAAGGCAGGACGCTGTCCTCTGTTCATCACATGGTCAGAGCATGCAGAAAATGCGTCTAGTTTAAAAACAGGACACGATGGACTGGGTGTTGCAAGCACAGACTTTCAGTGCTAGAGATCTTGCTGCCCCTCTCCCTGCATGGAGGCCCCTTAGCACTCAAGAGAGTGGCATCCATTCTCAGACTTGCTCTACCCTGGCTCAAACCGAGTAGGGTCATTTGGTTTCACACATTACCAGTTGAAGAAGAAAAACAAATCTTAAGTTTCCAGGGAGACCTGTCTGTTTGTCTCTTCACAAACCATAATGAGATATGGCCTTGAGAGGCGAGTAAAGCTGAAATCGCTCGCTCTGAACAGACTGGAGCATCACAAAGACTCCATTTTAACCCGGGATTCAACAGATGATTTGAGCTCATGTTACAAATCGTGAACTAACCAGAGGCCGAATGCTGCTCCTAGTCGATTCAGTGATGAAGCCTCCGATGGACTGGCGACCGAGGATGGAGCAAGAAAGCAGGGGAATAACTTGTCCCTCTTTTGCCCATCCAGTTGGAAGGTACTTTCTGACGAGGGGACTGGCTGTGCACAGAAGACGCTGAATTGCTTTCTGATATACCCTCACCTCGAGCCCTTCCTCCAGTCCGTGGCTTCCTCAGGCCTGCTAACTGCATGGCTTTCATACAAGCTTTTCCTATTGGGCGTCTCGCACAGCCACAGCCTCTCAGCTGGAACCCAGCAGCTGGGATGTTTTGTAAGGAGCTTTCTAACGCAGATGTGCGCAAGAAAGGCCTGGAATTGGGTTGTCCTTCCTGTGGTAAGAGAAGGGCATCAGACACTACATTACAGTCATGGGAGAAACTGTATACTGTGACCGGCTCGTGCTTTTTGCTAGTGAACTGAATGACTGAATAGCTTCCAGAGACTGGTAAATGGTACCGAAGGTCAACCTAGCTATGTTGGAGTTGCTTGAGAGGTAGGGAAGGAGGAAGAGGAGGGGAGCTACCAGGCAATCCAGGATTGTTCGGTGCCTCTCGCGTGGGTCCTGTTCCGAGTGGGTGTAGCTCGTAAACGAAATAAAGGTGTTTGTATGGAGACTGGGCTCGGCGCACGGGCGGCTTCTTGCATCGGATCAGTCAGCTGCTTTGTCAGCAACGCGATGCAGTTCCCTCTTCTTGCTCTTGGACCCGTGGGGTAGGCCTAACAAAACACGTGGGAAGTTGGCACAAAGAACAGTAGACAACAGCAGGGCACAATCATGGGCAGCCCACCCCTTACGGGGAGGGATCACTAGGCCGAAACAGTCTAGTTTGGCGCCTCTTGTCAGCTGCGAGAGGCAGGCCGTTGTGGAAACATCGACTTCTTTCTCTGAAGTGGTGTGCAAGGGGCCCGACTTGAATGGTGACCTAGAGGCGATGTTAAAATGTGCAGTGGCCTTTAAGCACATGCCACAACTTCAAATAACACGCGTGGAGTCACGTGGCCTTTGTTTCTAACCCCCGTGTCAAGCAAACTCCGCTGCAAGCAGGTGTCCGTCATCCCGTTTTTATCTGGGACACGTTCTGCATTAGTGTTAGAGGCGCTTACTGGACAGACACGTTGAATACAGGGTCGTCCTAAAGCAGAGCCTTTTGCACGCATCTTTCAGGCAGTCGTGCCTTAGACCCTGGCTGCTTGAGGGGGATGCCGACGGCTCACAAAAGCACAGGAGAACGATTGCTTAGCAGTCCACAATTATTTTTTTTATTGGACTTTGTCACCTGTAAGAAACATTCCCACAGTTACAAAATAAGATATTTTTTGTTCGCAAAACGTAACAGTGACCAGAAGGCAACACCGGATGTCTTGGTCCAGACTATCCAATGCTAAAAAAAAAAAAAAAAAGCATTATATAAATTTCCCATCCCATTCCCACCCTCCTTAACTAGCTGATAGGGTTCTTTATTAAGCAGCTTGATACTGTTGCATCATTGTGAGACTTAAGGCAATAAATAAGAAACCATCTTTTGGTGACTATAGCACAAAATATACATTCAAGAGTATGTATCGGTTCGGGATACAAGTCAAGTTTTTATTGCTGCTGACAAGGAATGTGATTTCGTGACTAATAGTTCAGGCTTCAGCTAAGCTCAGTTCTCGGGTATTAGGTGCCTTAGTTGTGGCACTTGGAGGACCTTGTCTGTGAGCATGTGGCTGATGGCTTTGTACAATTAATTAAGTGTTGCTATGAGAACTAGGATGGCTTTGGAAGCTGTAGGACTGACCCGCCGGGCGCACAGGCCCTCGCTGAAGCATCTGGCGTTTGCTGAAGTGACTGGTGGGCTCTAGAGCTGCTCTGTAGATGCTGCTCGAAGGCAAGCAGAGCAGTTGTCTTATCCCATCTGTGCTCCTCTTCAGTTAGAAGCACTTGGCAGCCCCTGCACACCAAGACACACACACACACACACACACACACACACACACACACTCATGCACGCACGCCTACAGAGCACGCTTGCTAACAAGCTCCCTTTACTTCCGAACTTGGAGAAAGGACAAATCCCTGACTCTCTGCATTTGGCAGCATCCTGGCTCGAACTCTTCAGTCACCTGTATTAGCTTATGAAAGGACATGCTAATTCCTCTGGCTTTCAGTTCACCACGGCCTCTGACCTATGGGACTTTCTGCTCCCTAGAGTGACCACGCTAATAACTTCCATTTAAATGACCCCATTCAAGGCTTTGCGGGGGGGGGTAACCTATTGTAATGAGCCTTGAGAGGCTGAGCCTTGAAGAAAGCGTCTTAATTTTGCTTTTTAACTCGCAGCTTCCGTGAGATGGGCCGTTAGCAAGCACATGGGACAGTCTGCCGTGGCACCCGGTCCCTGTAATCTTGGTGATACTGCTGGCTGACAGGCCTTCATTTCTGAGACTCGTTATTCACCTTACTGTACTACTTTTAACTCTCAAGTGTAAATCCCTGCCCTCTACACCATCTTGATACAACCGTGCCGTTGTATTTGGCCAGCCCAGACAGACCCATTCCCTGTGCAGGGGTGGGATCCCTCCCTAAGTGTTGCCCCGTTTGGCGGGTAAGTGGTGTCAGCCGTCCTGGTGCCATAGTGGCCACGAATATTTACAAGCAGCGAGGGTGGCTGTCACTGCATCCCGTCCGGCTTGGCCTTTCCAAGCGGTGGCCTCTGGGCTGCACACGTTACCGTTAGCAATGGGGGAGACAGGCCTGGCTTTAACCATCGTGTTTCCCAAACCCACTATCTTCCAGCCTCGCTACCTTCCCAGTGGGAAGAGGGGTGGTCCAGCTGGCAGAGGTTGGGGGTGGGGGGTGTAACCAAGAGCTTGCAGGGCCCAGAGGGGTTGAAGGGTTGCAGTAGAAGCAAGAGGATACGTCACGCTTGCGTCCTTCACTTGCAGCATCAGGTTGGGGCCGTTGTAAGGAGTCCTGGAGCTGATGCAGTTGGGCTCTAGCGTGACAAGTAGTGAAACCCTGCTTGGAAGCCACCCAGCCTCTGTGGGACGCACTGTGAGGATCCACAGCCTGGCTTGTGCCTCTCCTGCCCGTGACATGCTCCCACCCTGCCTTTCCAGCTGGCCTCTGTCCCTCTCCACCTGCCATCTCGGACGTCCCGAGGATGTCACTTCTACCATCGGCTCTGCGAAGAGAGCCTGTGGCAACTATTTCCACTTCCTCCTGTCTGCGCTCTACCTACGTCCATACTTCACATTAAATCAACATAGCCTTTTGGCTAAAGATAGCCACCCTCATCCTCGTCATAACACTGAGGCTTGCCCCCCGCCGGCGCCTTCCAAAACCTCTTGCTGGATCCTGCTATCTGCGCAACAAGGACAAACTTCAGGGCTTGGCTGCTCATGAACACCCACGCTTGCTGGGTTTGTGTGTCTGCGGAGAGGGAAGAACAGAGCAAGGGAAGAGAGAGCCTGGGTGTCCCCCGATGGCTGTGCCTTGACCTGCAAGGCATCGGACACCCGGCATGAAGCACAAAGCGTCAGGAGCTGGTTACTGAGAATAAAGTGCAAAGAGGTGATAAGAGCAAACTGCTCTGGAAGTGTCCTGGGAGGGAAGCCCCTCTCTCTAGCCCCTAAAAGTGCTTGGCTGGAAAGGAGCGTGCAATTCCCCTGCTGCGGGTGTTCTCCTCCTCTGGGTGGGGGAGCTCTGGCGTGATCCACCGGCGTCCCAAGAGATGTAGCTGGAGAAGCGAGATGCGGCCGAGTCCAAGGCACCACCTGTACCATCGAGAACGGCCCCCGCTGCGATCGGCCTTTCGTTTCCCAGGGCTCCTGTAGAGCACCGGTGCATTTCGGGAGCATCAAGCGGGGTACGGGGAAGAGACCAGCTAAGTGCATCGTGAGATCCCACCGCCCCTCGGCTCCAGCTGTAGGGTCGGACCTAGTGCCGGACTGGCCTGAGCCTGGCGTGGCCGAGAGCACGCGCACCCCACGCGCTCGGACACCTAATACTTTATATACAACGAACATTCCCGGAAGAAGCACTTCATACATCCTTTAAATAACTCTGACAATAGTGTTCTGTCTCCTATCTACAGGTTTCAAACACGGTACCGATGCTATGAAAATATAGCAAACATACAAAAATATATACATTTAAAAACCCCGTATAAATTACTTACAATAATACATAAGGCCAAAGAGCAGCGGGGACGTGAACGCAGGCCGGGGGGTGGTCTCTGCCAGGGAAGGTTTGCTGATGTTCTGCACCACTTGGCGCAGCTGGGAAGAATTTGGGGGAAGGATGGGGCTGGCCGGGACCGACACATGGGTGTTGCCTGGTCCTGGTAGGAGAAGGGGCCGTGAGCTGCCTGCACGACGTAGGAAGCAGAGCCCAGCTGCTACTCTACGCCGCGGCCTGCGGTTTAAGCTGGAGGGGTGGGAGAGAGTCGGAGCAGGGAGCCCGACCGTCATCCCGTCTCAGACGGAGGCAGACGGTCAAGCAAATTGTGCTTGCTTTCCACCGGAGAGGAGCTCCTGCCTTCCCCTCGCGCTTCTGGTTGCTGAATGGAGCCTCTTGGCCTCCTTGCTAAGGGAGGGTCTGGGCTTGGCTCGCTGGCACCCAGTCCCGGGCAGAGGTTGTTTCAGCTGCGGGGCGGAGGGGAGAGGGCTGCGTTCACATCACCGTTTGCTCGTTCAGCTTACGATTTAAAAAAAAAATACTGCTTTCGTGATATATTATCCCGTTCTTGTTAAGGTCGCGTGTGTCGTCAGCCAAGGAAAGCATTGTTTAAAGTGCTGGGCAGTACATACGAAAAAGTAAACCGAAAAAATACATATACTTATGTCAATACATTCCTTCAACGACCAAACCAAGCCATCGACGCAACGCGCCCCCCCAAGCCCAGCCGCCGGGCGCGGGGGACGCCGGCGGGGCAGGGGGACCGCAGCGAAGCCAGCGCTCCGGTACCCGTCTCGCTAAGGGACTGATCGAACGAGTCCCCTGGTTGAGCTGGTGCCGTTACCACCTCCACAACGGGCTGGTTTCCATGGGCGGCAGCTTAATGCGGATTTTGTTGGAATTCAGCTTTTTTTTTTTTTCCTCTCTCCCTTTTTTTTTTTTTTTTTTATATCAAATGTCATTAAATACAAATAATATGAATTTCTGGAGGATAAATTCAGCCGATACTGGAAGTTAAGTGATGATGCTGGTGTTAAATACTGTCTATGCATATAAAGTGGGATTAAATATCCTCTTGGAAACTGGTAGCTTTCCTCCACTGTGTGTCTGGTCGGGGAAATCCAGAAGTCAGTAAAAAAAACCAAACAAACCCAAAACAACAACAAATGCTTAAAGGTAGCAGGGAGCGCGGCTCCTCGCCCCACTTTGGCACAGCCAGTTGAGAACGGGAAGTCCCCTGGAGCCGGCCCTGGCACCAATTCTTGGTAAAGCATCTTAAAAATAATCAGCCTGCCTCGGGTTGAATCCACACGCTTTGTTTGCGGTTCGGAAACCTGTGCTTTTGGGTTGATACCATCCGAATCGGAGCTCTTCTCCGCTCCGCTTAGTGCCGGCTGCAACGAAGCGAGAGCCTCGCGGCTGCTCGCGCCGCATCTGGGCGAAGACGGGACCCGCTGAGGACGATCCCCGAGGACGCCGTCGCTCGGGAAGCAGGAAACCACGTGCTCGAAGCTGCCTGGCTGGACGATGCCCCGAGGCAGTACCCGCGTGCCCCGATCCTCGCGCTGCAAGCTGGCGCTGAGCTCAGGCAGGGCGCATTAGGCTCCCCTACGGTGCCGGTCTCCCGAGGGTCCCGGCTCGGACCCCAAACGCTGGCGGCTCTCCACGCCACGAGGATCTCCCTGCCCTCCACCAGGCAGCACCGTGACGTGTCCCCTCGGCGATGCTGCGTGGTCCCGTTACTTCACGCTGGGGTGGACCTTGTTCTTTGCCCGGAGGGGCCTCTTCTTCACGGCTGGCGCCAGGGTGCCGTAGCCTTTGTGCGGGGACGCCACGCCGATGCCCCGGCTGGCTCGAACGAGCCGGCTGGGCACGGCGCCCGGGCCGTCCTGCGGGGCGCCGGGGGATCGGGAGGGCAGCGGGAAATCCACGTCCGAGGCGTTCTCGCCCTGCTCCAGCCCGCCGCAGCCCGGGGCGCACGGGACAGCCTGGGTCCCGCGCAGGCGCCGCGTCCTGGCCCGGTGGCTCTGCGTGCCCTCCAGCTGGTGCTCAATGCGGTACACATCCTCCGTCACCTGGTTCACGCGGTCGAACTGGGCCAGCAGCATCTCAAAGAGGGAGAGGAGGCGCCGGAGGTCGGCGTCCACCTCCAGGCTGTCCCTGGCGCTCAGCACCAGGCTGAGCCCATCCAGCTGGCTGGAGGAGGTGGAGGCCCGGGAGCTGTCTGAGGCGGCGCTGGGGGTCGGGCCCCGGAAGGACTTGGAGTCGCTGGAGGAGCGCGAGGGCAACGGCTCCATCCCCTCGAATCGCACCTTGTGTCGGAACTGGAAGGGAAAGCGGGGGGTTGCAGCCGGCCCGTGCGGACCCTCGCCTCCCCGCACCGGGGACGGAGCTGGGGGGTGGGTGCTACCTGGGACCCTGGCCAGCCCAGCGGAGGGTCACGTGCCCTTGTCCTGGTGGCAAGCGGTCCTATGTGCTAAATCCCAGGCTGGGCAACCCCGCAGAGAGGAGCCGGCCATCTCCAGGCCTGCCCCAGCCCCCCCCCCAGAAAACCCCGAGCGCCCTCGCACCGTGCCCGCAGGGGGAAGGGGAGCCCGGGCGAGCCGCACTCACTTCCTTGGCTTTGCTGAAGCCCATCCACATCTTGAGCCTGCGGACGAAGAGCTCCACCATCTCGTAGTCCTGCGGCTCGAAGGCCGGCCGGTACAGCTCGAAGTGCATCTCCCGGTAGCGGTGGAGGAGCACGGCGGCGAAGAGCCGCAGCACCACCCACAGCTCCAGCACCACGTAGCTGGCGCAGAACAAGCCGTACCAGCCCGAGGGCTCGGGCGGGCTGGGACGCAGGGTCGCGCTGCCCCGGACCAGGGCGAAGAGAAGCAGGAGGCTGCTGCCGAAGCTGCGGAAGGACTCGGAGCAGGAGGAGAAGAGCTGCGAGGGAACGGGCGGCGAGCAGTGAGATGGGGGCTGTCCCTGGGGGTCGGCCTGGAGGCACCTGCCTTCCAGGACCCTGGCTGAGGATGCCAGTGGGGGACCAGGAGCGCCTGGCTTTGGGGCGCCTCCTGTCCTCACCGAGGATGCTTACCAGGAAGCCGAGCTGAGCGTACGCCAGGGCGAGGATGCCAAACGCCAGCCCCGCTGCGGCCAGCTCCTTCGCGGACTTCTGCAGCGTCTTGCCAAACACGGACCACTGGCGCACGAAGCGCAGCTGCTGGGCGGCCTGCGGGCGAGCAAGAGGAGCGCGGTTCGTACGCCACCTTGCACGTCCCCGCTCTGGGATTCTGCTGCCACTTCTGTCACCAATGTCACGACAGCAGGACGTGCCCGTTGCCGGACCGAGCC